AGCGTCCTGCAGCTAACAGTGGTCAGGTGGTCTGGTGCTCCTGGATCACAGGTGCAAGGGGGCGTGGCCTGAAGAACAATAGGGAAGTGAATTGTTTGGTCCTGTGTTGAAGCAGAAAGGCTTTTGGAGATAGACAGAGGAGCTATGGATGATCCAGGCGGCACACTCGGCAGATGGAAAAGGCATTTGGATCTTTTTTTGATGGTAGATCCTCATGTGAAGAAAAAATGGGAGACTTTTTTTTAAGAATATTGGGAATATAGCAACCAGAGGACTTGGGATCAACTAGGCCGGACTCCTAATCAAGATCTATGTGCGGTACATTTCAGTCTTTTGGGTTTTTTATGCATTTCTACAGCTCTTTATCTATACGTCTCATTTAAAAGGAAAACATATGGCAATTTTTTGTTTTATTTTACATTTTGGTTGGACTCTGCGGGCTCTATAAGGAGGCCTTGTTTGAGTTGAACTATCTGTGTTGTCAACCTAGTAGACATGAACCTAATGGTCGGGCAGGGGTTTGTTTTCTTAAAATGTTTTGTTATTTGACATTTAGTATATTGATTCCTAGATGTTGTTATCGTCAGCAGGGCTTTAAAGGCCCCGAACCCTTTTTAATTTCCTTTTTAAATAAGGCTTTTTGGTCTTGGAGTTTCCTCATTTGGTCATCTTCTTTCGAATTATATTTAACTATGCTTAAAACCCAATCTGTTAATTAAACAGTTGTTGGGTTTTTTGTATATATTTTATTAAATGCTTATTAAACAGTGGAGGATGTGCTACCTCTCTTCACAAATAAAGCAACAGTCTTTAATCCTTATCACAACATTTCTGAAATGATTTTTTTTTTGCTGATTTAAGCCGGTTTCTTAAGAAAAAAATTACAAAAAAGTTGATCAATTGCTCAAACAAAGTGTCTTCTGTGTTGTGGTGGTCAAAACATGCAATTTGTAGACTTTACATTATTGGTTTCTAAGATATACTTCGCTTGTCATTGTTTTGACTATCTTCGGACATTTCAATAGATTAATTGAGCAAGAATTCAGCAGACTTAATCAATAATGAGCTGAGTTATACAGCCCTTCAATATTTAGCAGGAAGCAGGATGCTGTGTAGGAAGTGCTGTTTCAGTGTTGTTGCAGTTTTACTGGTCACCAACAGAGGCTGACAAAAATCACACATTTCAATTATTATTAAAACTCTTGAAGCAAAGCAAAACAATTCCAAAGTTTGTGAAAATGATCCGATGTGGAACTGTAAAGTGCTTCAAGAAGCCACAAGTAAAGCTTAGGACGCAGCAAAGTGATCCTAACTGCAGGACAAGTAGTGAGGACGGACTTTTACTTCAGCCACCTGTCTGTGTCATTAAGCTCCTGTCCCTATTAGCTCATGCCTGAAACCCGTCACCTTCAGACATCTCTGTCTACGATATCCCCTCGGGAACAAGCTGTTCCCAACACTGCACTTGCATAACCCTCAACCCACGACTCAGCTGTCTCTCACAGGCAGATATCACCTCATTTTATTCCCAAATTCATAAAAACAAACCAGCATTTAAAGGCAATCGGGCACAATCTAATGTATTTGATATTGCAATATGTTCATATGAGGTCATCCAGGCAAACCATATGGAAATATAAGAATTAAACCTCAATATTCACTTAATAGCAATACAGACATTTTGCATGTATGGCAACCTGTCCAGTATCATTAGTAGTCATTGATCGATCATTTGATCACATTATCAGTCTTGATTGTTTATTCTTTGATTGAAAATGTCCTGATTGTGTGAATTTTAAAAGGATTTTTTTTTTTAGCAAAGCCCTTGCAACAGTTATTGTAAGATTCTAAGTAATATATTATAGCATTTTTGATGCTGATGCAAAAAGTGTCACCCATCTATGTGAGATCATATCTGTTTTTTTTTAATATACATTTTGTGCTTTCTAATGCATTTTTCTCATGCATTAGAAAGCACAAGACTAGGGCTGCACGATTTGGGGAAATAATCTAATTGCGATTTTTCTGACAGATATTGCGATTCAATTTGCGATATTTGTTTTTAAGCGACCCAACGGAAGTTTATTGTAAAATGCGGCCATATCTCCGGCTAGGAAGGTCGTATCAACGTGCTCCCGTCTCTAGCCCCCCCGCAGCCCGAGCTACGAGTGAAAGAACTAAAGAACTAAACTTACATGAAACTTCCGTTGGGTTGCTTTAAAGTCAAGCTTCAGTTTAAGATTCACCCTGTCATAGATGTAACACACGTGATGAGCATTATTAACCTGACTCAGATGGTTTGTTTCACCAAACCATCTAGGAAAGCTCCATTGGAAGCCATTTGGAAAGGGCTGGCACTTTCAAAAGGACTTGGCAGGTGATTGGATCAATCTGTCTATCACCTTCTATCATGGGCCACTTCTGATTGGTTAACAATGGCTGGTACATGTGGAGAACAGCACTTCTGATTGGTGTGGATGACTGACACACAAGAAGAAAAAAATTATTAAAAAAGAAAGAAAAGTGTTTTTTTAAATCGCATCATTTCAAATCGCAATTTTGATTTAAAATCGATTAATCGTTCAGCCCTACACAAGACTTCACTTTGCATACCAAGTCAGCCAGAAAATAATGAGGCTTCAACTCTCAGTTTCAGAATCAACACATCCACTGCTAAATATATATCTTATTCACACTGCACAGTAGACTAGCTTCCCTGTCTGTCTCGCGTCTATGTTCGGCACATCGTCTGCAGCAGGCTGAGCGCTCTGTCAAACTGATTTAAGAACAAAAAATATGTCTTTGAAATGATTTTGTCACACCTCAGATTTTAAATTTAGAAACCACAGGGGTAATAATGACGGGATATGACACCAATAATCAATGGAACTAATTATATCCATTTTGCGCAACAATGTCTCGCAACACTGTCATCGTGACTGTGCTGGATCATCCTCATGTGATGGGAAGAGGAAGTGGGACGCCTTCAATCTAAACAACTTTTCAGACAACTTCTCATTTTCCAAAGTAACTGGCATGAAATAATCTGTGATTCCTCGCTCGCACTGAGACTGGATGCCTTTGCTGCTCTGCCTGCGACCTCACAACACAACACAGCTCAGATTGTACGTATAACAGTATAATGACATTTCACTAATCAAGTAATTAGTTTAAAAAATGCAGAACTGGGTTAAAGGGTAAGGCTGTGCGAGAGTTGGAGTTGTGGCTGAATTTAGAGGAACGCAGATGAACTCCAAATCTGCAAAAAGAAAGTCTCAAGAATCAACCAGTCTACCAAACGTCTGTAATAAGAGCTCTGTCTGAAAACAATGGTGTACTGTCCTCTCACAATGAAGCCATGTTTTGCTGAACAGCCTCACAGAGACACGTAGATCCAAAAAAACAACTGATAATGAAACACCATTCTGTTAATAGAGGTATTATCACTCCCATCAGCAACACAGCAAAGTGGTGATTTTCACAACATCTGCGTTAGATCACAGCTGAAAAGTGTTGTGTAATCTATTAGAATCACCCGGAAAACAGTGTCATGCTTTATCGTCATCAGTCAAAATAGACTTCTTCTTTTTTTTTTTGTCAGTACCTACAAATTATTCTGGTATTTATCTATAGTCAGAATTAACTTGGGTCAAAAGTCATTCATCAAAACATGACGTTATTACAATCAGCTACTAAAAAGTGCATCAAATAAGTTTTATACTCCATTTTCGCGATAACTTTCATTTTCTTTCTTGCTAATTGAAGAGAGAAATCTTTCTGACAACTCTAAGGAACTGTCATTAACAAGAGTGATATCTAAGTGTACGGAAAAAAAAGTTGTATTTTTACAGCAGTCTCGTCATCAATAAGGTGCTGGAATATGGATTTTGTTAACTTTGTACAGAGCCACACTAGCTGTTTTTCTTTTCTTTATGCTAAGCTAAGCTAACTGTCACCCGGCTCCAGCATTATATTCAATTTTAGGACATGAAAGTGGTATAAATCTTATCTAACTCAAAGAAGAGTTTCCCAAAACTGTGTCCTTAATGACTTCCTGAGACCCCTTGATATATATTAGTATTATTGCTTATTAGCATCTGAACATACATTAGATGGCAATGAGCAATACTTCCAGAACAAAGGTGAAAGGTCACATGAGACCACAGAGACCTGACTCAGCCATTGCTGATTGTTTGGAGAGGCCTCAACAGCAGCTTTCTGATAAGTCTGTGTGTTCATGTCCTGAGGCACCATATGAACCTCTAATGTATGTCACGTTTATTCCACAACACTGTTTGTTTTAGTCAGGATTAAGATAAGACTCTCCAATGTTTACTTTCAGCATTGCATTTCCAGCTCTTCAAATAAATACATAGAAAGCAGACACTGGATTCAAGAGCAGATTGTGTTAGGTTACACTTTTATAGCTCTATCCGCCTCTTAATAGTTGATATGAAATGTAAACATCTCGCATTGTAGCTTCTCTACAAAAATATCTGCACATTTTCCACTGTAGATGGTTGTTATGTATCCTACTATAATTTACTAAACACAGTGACACTATATTATTTGACTAACCAGTTATTGGTAACCTACAGATTGCATTTGGCTATGAACATTTCCATCAAGAGGTAGGCTATTTGTACACTTTCTTTAAAGTAGTATCCATACAAACATCACCCCACCCATCAGCTTTATCAACACATCAGCAGTGAGTGAAGCTGAGCAGCATCTCCTGTCTTTCTCTCCTCTACAAGCTAATATTTGAAGTAGATTTTGACAAGACAACACCCAAGTGTTGCATAACTTCATGCCAGCAGGATAACCATAAGGAATGGGAGTTGAATCCCGGTATGGAGATGAGCTCCAGTAACATCTGTGGAGAAGCCTGCTACATGCACGCACTGTGGAACAACAGCTCAGAACAGAATCTGCAGCCCAATTATCACCTAAACACCAAAACCGCTCCGGCTTGGGAAATAACTGTCTCAACAACTGACCTGTTTAAGGGTTGACTCTTCAATTCGTAATACGTTTTAGGCTCCTCTTGAAACTCCTCTCCAACCTCGAAGTCGGGAACTATTCCCGATTCGGACTGCATTCTTGCAGATGGCAACTTTTTTTTTTAATGGAAACGTCAAACCCCTGGAAAAAAACCAGACGGTGGATATTTGTGGCGCCGTCCTTCGCTCCGTACCGACCGCTGTCAGCCGCCTCTGTGCGGGACCCGGAGCTGTGTAGTCCTCCGCCGCAGCGAGAACCGCACTCCCAACGGGCTGCACGAGACCAACGAACTACGACTCCCAAGATGCACCTGGGCTGTCAATGTCAGCCTGGTTTTTATTGGCTACAATATGCGAGGGGGATTTTACACAGCCTTATTTGCTCAAAACGATAGTGTCGAAAAGTTTAAAACCTTCAATAATAAATTATAACAGCTGGTTAATGATGGACATTTAGACTTATTTTGGGTTACAACAATGCAAATGCTTCCTGCAGTTCCCTTTTTTAATGATTTGTTATCGTTTATATACCTCATAACGACTAACTGCACCAAAACAATACAAATATATATGTATAATATGAATGCAGCCTAAACACGTATCTACCTTATTAAAGTGTATTATCATCCAACATATGCAGGTTTAATTTTAGCATGACGATACAACATCAATACGTGATCAATTGTCATAATTATGCTCAATGCACCAAACATGAGGCTATATTTAGGCCATATAGTGACCTTGAAAAATCGCTTCATGCTAATGTAGATCATGATCATCATAAAAAAGATTCCAATAAGATGACATTGCATGGCTTCACCACTTCACGTTTACTTTCTTAATAAATGAAACACTTCTGCACCAGAAAAGCACAAAATACTACATTCTTTAAATTATTGATAATTATTAACCTTAATATTGCATTTCTCTCATCGTCACAGCAGTTTAATCATGCAGGTATTGCCCCCAAATCCCCACAAACCTGGTGACTCTGTCGACCCTCATGCCTCGGTTCCCTCGCTGTGTTTCCTGTGCAGACAGACTGACCTGCCTCTGCTGCTCGTCTCGTCCTCAGACCCTCACTCTCCTCTCTGCTCTCCAACTTTGGTTTCCTCACTGGATCCCATGATCCCATCCACCACTTGGGGGCAGTATTTGATAGAGAAGCCAGTGTTGTGGGCTCATGGGGCACTTTCTATTACAAAATGGAAATTCTAGTTCAATATTTGCATTAGCTTCATCCTGCTGAACTGGTTTGAGTCTACTACTGCAAATAGCCTATCATCCAGATGTTCTCCTGTTGGAAAGCTCAGACTTCTAAATAATATAAAACGGAGCCTCAAATGGCATGCTCATAATTGAACAACATAACTGGAATAGGAAACAGTTTACCAGTGTTTGTTCAAGATATTTTCTTTGCTCCGAAAGCTCAAAGCCTGTGAAATGCATACAGAGTTACAGTGAGAGCGGGAGACATGATGCATGCATGGGGCTTCACGTTCAGTCAAAAAAAGACACACAATAGACTAGACAACATATTATTCTGGGTGTTGTAGTTGGGTGAATAGCGGCACTGATTACAACGGGCCTCCAGCTGAGGGAGGCCCCCAGAGTTTATAGACTACAATGCCCTTTAGTTTTTTTTTACTCAAGAATAAGTATTTGATACTCCAGTTCAAATTGATCTGTCTTTGAAGAATGATTTTGTTGAAACTCTTGCAACATAACAGATCCTTGGTCACCTTTCAACCCAGAGACAATGGTTGTTTTGACCCAGTGTTTGTGTTATTTTCTATACAACGAAACTAAAGCCTGTCCTCAATTTCCATAATTTACTTTAGCATGCTTTGTTTCATATTATTATATGTTGTGTGTGTATCCTTTGTAGTTGTTAAATGTCATGTCCACACAGTTTTTTGAAACTGACAACAAATCAGTTAAAAATCAAAATACTTTAGAAAACTAAACTTTTAGTAAAACTTTAGCTTGATTTTTCTAACATTGGGTCAAAAATAACCATTCATGTTGTTGCAGTAAAAATACAGTGTTTGCACACCGTCTCTTTATTTTGATGGGTTACTGACTGGTTTTTCTCATGTGTACTAATCTTAAATGAACCTAGTATCATGTTGATGCTATATTGACCTGAATTAGATTACAGCAGGAACAAACATTCCCTTTAGACATAATGGAAACAACAGGACGCTACTCATTAAACATGTATCTGTGCGAGACAAAACCTATAACCATTCAACAGGTTACATGTGATAAGTGATTAGTCCCCTCACGTGCAATCATTTCCCACTAGCTTTTACAAAGTGCCACGAGAACATGTGCCAACAAATGCAGTGTTAGACAGACTCACAGTGAATGTCTGGCATCATGGTGGCTGTGTGCAATGAGATAACTGAACACAAACATAGACAATGCTGTGCAGATTTTAATGAGCAGTGACAGCCGATGCAAACAATGCTGGCTAATAAGGCAGAGCATTAAATGTAGGTCAACAAAAGCAGGGAGTGCACCAACAGTCCTGTTATCTTTTTTTGAGACGGCTGTCATGAGTGACATGCAGCCGTTTCCACTTCCTGTATGTTGGACTCAAAACAAGATCCTGGATTGTGAGCAAAAGGTATCCTGCTGATGCAAGACATTAGTAAAGTTTCATGTTGACAGTTGTATAATAATCAGATTGCCTTGAAAGAAATGGAGGAGTGGTTTTGGTCAGAAGTGAAAACTAATTCAACACCATGAATAAAATACTGCATTGTTTAACCTCAAGTTTGTTCCTCTTTGGAAAAATGTATATATACTGTATATTCTTCTTTAAAATCTCAACTGGTAACATGCAACATTTTCAAGACATGTGGTGGGCATACTGTATTGCTCAAAGAAAGCCTGTTTCTTTGTTTCTATTTCAAAACCTTGTCCCACAGTGTTTGCTTTTAGAGGCTTTTCTTTTTTAAAAACTTTTCTATCACATGAAATCATTTTTCCATTAATAGCTGCAGTTTTAAATTCCATGTAAACAAGATTTGCAGCACTCTTATTCAAAGCATTCCAGTTATGAGACCACAAAGTTATTCATTGCTGTTGTAAAACTCCCTCCGTTTCTGTTGTTATGGATGCTGTGGGAGCATTTGCATAAAGCATCTGCCAATCAACATATGACTGTGATTAAATGGAGACGGAAAAGTAATTGCACACACATCCAACCATGCATAAAAAAACATAGACACAATGGGATAGTTATCTCTAATGGCGTAGTCATGAAGTGGATATTGCATTTTTGCTATTGTGCAAAAATAATAAGTTCCATACAAACTTTCATCAACTTTTGTAAACAATACCCTGGAGATTACTAACATGCAATATGAATGAAAAGCAACCTACATCGACGTACATTCTTGATGGCTTGAAGCTTTTATTGTGGAATGTACAGTAAATGTTGATATTGCTGAGAGTTTTACATGCCAGGTATTACAAAAATAACCCAGTGTCTTATACTTATCCCCTCAATGTATTAAAAGTGCAGCTTGCCATTGATTGTATAATGAAATTCCTAATGAGGGTAACGAGGGAATGCTACTCTTTTGTTTAAGAGAAGATTTTTTTTTGTAAGGAGGCGACTCAGAGGACAGATGGTTTTGGGGGATCTTAATGAGATACTTATTCATGTCTGATGTCAGAGCAAAGGAGGAGGGGGGGGGGGG